CCCCCCCCCCACCTTTCTCTCTCTCACAGCGTCGTACTCGGCACTCTCATCCATTCGCCGCACTCACCGCACTCACCGCACTCACACTTATCTGAGGATAACAATTGACATGCGTTTCGTAACTTTCCTAGCGTCTAGACAATGTGTGTCGTTGCATTGTCCGTTTACTTTTATTATTATTAATATTATCATTATTATTATTGATCTCCCGCTTACTTTTTCATTTTTATTTATTCCGTCTTAACCCGCTGCGCATCGCGGAGAACGTGTCCGGCGACGGAGCTTCCTCCCCGTCCCCCGGGGAGTTTCTTCGCCTTTCTTCCTCCCCCCCCCCCTTCATGCAATCACAAAGAGCGAACGCCTCTGAATTCTCGCGCGCGATCGCCGCGCATTCGTCGACGACCGATTTTCCTTTCGTCGTTTCCCTCTCTCTCTCTCTCTCTCTTTCTCTCTCGTGCGCGCGCGCGACGTTGACGAAGCCTGACACGCGCCGACGGCCGTCCTCGCTTCCTCCGCTTGATTATTTCTTCACTAGGCCGGAAGCGCCGAAAGCGCGCCGATCTCAGCCCCGATTTCGCGCGATTTCCACTACGCGTGTCACTCACAGCGACGACGTAACTAAATACTAACAGTGTCTCGGTTTGTGTACTCGATCCTCGTACTGTCCCCCTCGCACACCTTCGGACACTCCTCTCCGCGCGCCTTCCCGCCTCCTCCTTCTCGCCGCTCCTTCTCTCGCTTCGAGTCGGAGAAGACTGCTACCGCTACTGTACCATCACTGGAAAATAGGCCCATTCCACGACTAATTACACGGGTTCGATTTTGACGAGAGACTCGAACGAACTCTCGAGCGTCGCGAATTCGTCGAGTGAATTCGATAAACGCGCTATAATGCGCGCGTGACTACCCTTCGGCGATTACGCTCGCGAGTATCGGAGGATGCGCGGCGATTCGTCCCGAGACGTGACGTTTCTCGTGTAAAAAAAAGGAGGATCGACTTGCCCGGCGCCTCGCGGGCCGTTTCTTCGAAAGGAAGCGACCGCGGGAAGCGGCTGAAGCGAGGCTCGACAGGACGTCTCCGAATTACGCTATAATCGCGCGCGACACGCTCGTCGACGCGCGTCCGAGCGTCCGTCGAGAGAGTTATATATCTCTTCTTCGTCTCCTCTCCTCTTTTCTCCTTTATCTTACTCCCCTTTCGTTTATATGCTACAATCTAATCAGTTCCTTTATCCCCTCCCCCCTTTTTTCCGTGCGCTAGACAGTCCTTTCCTTATCTGAAGTACTTCAATCCCGCCACCAGCAGGAACTTCTCGATGAAAAGCTCGGAGTCGAGGACGGCGATGTGTGCGGCTCGGCCTATCAGGGCGTTCGCCGTCGGCGGTAGAGCGTGGTGCACGTCGTATCTGACGAGGCTTACGCCGGGCGCCGACATCACGGGATACAGGATATTGTGCACCATCTCGCGATACGCGGCTCCTGGAAGAAAGAGAAGAAGCGCGTCAGATCGATGCATTCGAGTGTAAACACGGTGACATTGAGGGGTCCATTTGACAANTTTTTACCCCCCCCCCCCCCCCTTCCCTTCCTTATATTTCGTTACAAAATATTTGCCTTTTCTAATGTTACGTCACATGGGGAAATACATTCCCTACCCATCGACACGTAGAATAAGAAAAGATAACTTAAAACCATATTGTGGGTGATGATTATTTTTTCCTAAGATACAAATAATTTGTCGGCGTAACGTCAAAAATGAAATACTTTATTTTATAATTTTGATTAGTAAAAGTTGAATTTCCTTAAAAGAATAAATACTTAAGAATTAACATTTTAATTACTAACACGAAGCTGGGTCGAAACTTAAAAATGTTCACTAAATGCAACCAAACGAATGCAAACAATGTGACGTTCCATGTGGCCTTTACTTCCTCCTTCCCTGCTATCACAGACCGTCAAGCTAATAGACCTCCCTCCCTTCCCCTCATGGTGTAACGTAATTGTTAAGTGGCCCCCTTGGACCAGTGTTCTCTTTAGCTAGATTAGTGTTGCACTGGGACTTCGTTCTTTAGCTCTTTCGAGAGAGTGTGACAGCTTGTTCCATTCTAACGGCAAAACAAGCAACCTAGTTCAGCTGGAAAGAGCAGACCGATTGAATCTGTGTGAATAGATACGATACCTTGATCGGTCGGATCTCGTACGGCGGCCTTGCAGAGCTCGATTCGGGCCGAGTGCAGCGGCACGTATCGATCTTGAGCGCTCCCGCACAGCAGGACGTGCTTGAATTTCTGCAGATTGCTCTTCTGGCTTAAACGGAACATGAAGGAGCGCCTCACGTCCGGCGAGTCCTTCATCGCCAGTTGCAGCAGAGATCCGGACTTCTTCCACTTTTGCATGAACCACATACCTGCGCACGATTCAACGAAACGATTATCTTCCATTACGTTCGAATTCTTCGAATTACGATCGAGAGAGAGAGAGAGAATGACGAAAGGCGTTAGTTAGGTTCTTACCCGCGTTCACCAGACCGCTCGTGTTGTAAAGAGTGCCTAAATGAGGTCCGCTCAAACTGAGGAAGGTGTGCAAACGGGGAAGGAGCGGGCGCAGCTGCGGTCGCGTGAGGGCGCTCCGGATGATTATGGTCCCAAGGGAATGTCCGATGAAGCTCACCTTCGTCGGGTTCAGGCCCGACGACTCGATATGGTAGAGAATCTCGGCCACCAGCCGGTCGGTCATCGTGTCGAAGTCGGAGAAGGTGTCGCCCTTTCGTACACAAGCGATACACAACCATTCGATACTTTCTATCTTGCGATCTTGAGTTTGATTTGAGAAGATCCGGCACTTCTCGTCTCGGCGACATTAATACTCGCAAAAATAATTAATATTCGTAATAATATTTCGTAACAAATATTTATAAAAGTAAAAGTTATTGATTCCTTGATAAAATAAGTACAGATGATAATTACAGCACCGAGACGATGAGCGTAAAAGTAGAGCGTAAAAGAATAAGCTATAAAGAGAGTAGCATAGCGAAACAGTGTGCTGCTATTCAAGTAATATGTATTTATCCAGGTAAAATGGTTGTTCCAATACTCGTTGGCATATATTTATCAGAAGTAGAAATATAATTGATTGTATATTTTCTTCACACAAGTAGACATTTACTTATATATATTAAAACAATTGGGACAAGTATTACATTCATAATATTGAGAATATCAGAAATTATTTATTTTTTTTTAGAAAATATTTGTTAAACAGAAAAATTAAAATGTGAAACTATCAGGTTTCTTCAATGGAAAAGAGGTATTACATAATTCTAGTAAACTCTCTCTTAAATTTAAAACCACCTTATACTTATATTCAGTAATTCATTTACAAATTAAGGTATTATTGTATTCAAGCAAGTACAGGCAACAATTAAAATATAAAATTAAAATATATTATACAAACTATTATTAAATATACAAAATAAATTAAATATTAAAATAACATTAAACATTAAATGTTAAATATTAAATATTACAATATACTACAAGCTATCAAAATATACATATATTGATAAAAATATTACTTGAGGCTGAAAAACAGATAATTACGTTTATTTGATTCTAGCATTATTTTTTTTTTTACTTCTAGGAAGGTACGGATAATCGTCGAGCTGAGATTGTGAATCTACATTGCCATTTTTTACCGTTGTTTCGGCAAAAGGGTTTACCTGATTTCTCTCAGACATCAGGAAATCCAAATGCGCCCCGGGCAGGCCCAATTCCAGGTACGTCTTGACGAGACGGAGATCGGCGGCGTTACCGTCGAGACCGTGGACGCATATAATGAGGTGAGCACCTTCCGGCGAGAAGAGCCGATACTCGTCGCTGATGTGGAAGTACGGCAGGGTCGAGGCCAGGGTCGGGTAGTCACTAAGAGGCACATTGGATCTTAATGGATGAACCGACGACGAGTTCAGAAGGTCACCGTATCCGAAGGAATGGGCACGTTTATGTAAACGCAACTGTGCTTCCTTGCGTTCTCTAGAGGGAGATCAGGTAGACAAAGAGAGAGAACTTAACTACAAACGGAAAGACAGACGAAACTGCGGAACAACGTGGAAGCGAAACGCAAAACGGGCATACCTAGCGCACACCTAGCGGAAACGATACTTCAAGTACGCATTGTCGTGTGACGAACGATGCGCTGGAAAACAATGCGGTTTAGGACAAAAAAAATTAAGAAAAAACATCACTCAAGCGTAATTATAATGTCGACAATTAAATCCCAGTGTACGCGCACAGCGTCATCTAGAGATTATTTTGAAACGGGTGAATCGACGATCTTCGGGATCTTCGGGATACCGTTACGCCGTTACCTCGGGTTTAAATCCCGATTTGCGAAATCAGGAATAGCAAATGATCCGAGATAAATTCTGAACAGTCGCGAATTAATCAACTATCCCATCGTTTAATTTGTTCTCGCAGTGTAATAACTGCTGCTCGACAATTTCGATTCATTGCCCGACTCGTGTCCTCTCGTCTTCAATTTCTCTCACCGTTTACTTATTTTCGCTACGTCGGAATCTAAATTTGACTGATACTTTTATCTTCCGTTTCCCTCTTCACTCGCTTGTGAGTCGCAGAATATTTCCCGTTCGAATAAATCAATCAATCTCAGGCGACGCTCGGCGAACACCGGGAGCTTAAGGAAGCGGTTCTAATCCGGGAGGGCTTTATCGCACGCGTCGTGTAACATGCGCGATCGACTCTGCGGAGAACTCTACCTGTAGATCCTGCCGGAGAAGCTCATTTGCCGCTTGAACTCCTCCTTGCACTTCTTGAAATTGATGAAGTCGTCCTGCGTGGACTGCAGCAGCTCTTTGCCCTCCTGATAACAGTCCAGGCAGATGTCCCTGACGCCGTAAGTGCTCTCCCGGTCGCGGTTCCGCTGCGGGCTGCAGGGCGCCGTTTTATTCTGCTTCGGGCTTCTGGTCTGCTTCACCGTCTCGTACACGTGGTAGAGCAGATTGTCGATCGGCGCTGGCGGATCCCGGAACTCCTCGGGCGGCGGTGGCTCGTCCTGGAACATCTTCGGCGGCGGTAGACGCACCTCCTCGTACGAGTGCTCCTCGACGCTCTCCTTCGCGGCACGCTCCTTGCGCGGCACGATCTTCGACAGCTTTTGCCGCAGCTGCTCGCTCGACAGCTTCGCGCAGCGACGCTGCTCCGAGCTGGAGGTGTCGCCGCTGCTGACCCAGCCGGAACACTCGGACGTGAGGTTGCTCGAGCTCGAGCTCGGAGTGGGACTGCTCGGTCTGGTGGACGGTGGACTGAGGGGATTCGGGATCACCGGCAGGTTGTTGCTCAGGCTGTCCTTGCTGTCGCGTATCGGCATGCAGGGCAGGGAGACCGCGCTGCGCGGCACCACCACTTTGTTCTGGGCCACCGGCACGCTGGCGCATCGCAGCCTCTTCACGTTCGGCAACGGCGCCACGACGCTCGACGCGTCCGACGGCGTGGTGCCGTTCGTCGCCGTTGGCACATCCATGGGCGACTTGATGGGCTCCATCTGAGAACGGGGAAAGCGAATGTGCTGATGTAACGTGCACTTTTATATTGTTTATAGGATGTCTCATTTTAATCTGTCAACCAGCTTATCTCCGCAGGAGAAAAGATACATGTTCAGACAAAAGTTACTCGGTGTTGAAGGGCTCGATTGATTATATTCATCTGATATTCATTTCAGACCTTGGGTCAAAGTCGGAGGGTTACTGCCGGGTCAACTTTATCTTTTTTTCTTTTTTTAATAGAATCAGTAGAATAGTTTCTTGAAACACAAATCGATTCCTCTACTCATTCTGTGTAGAAAAGATACCAGGATAAGCTCATTGAAAAGTGTGAATACTTTTGGAGATATTGCACTTTTTACTCGGACTTTTCACTATAAGACATGAAATACACGTCGTCAGGTATTCACTTTTCGATAACATCGCTTTGATACTTTTGCATGCAGAGTGACAGAATGGAATCGATGCAGTGAGCAAAGAAACTTGAAGAAACATTTCGTCGCATCGCGCAGATTCCGCCGCATTTATTTCCCCAGCGGATGACCGACCGTCCGCGAGTCCCCCGGCGCGTCTTGTCGCTTTACCTTGAGGATAATTTTATTGTTGTTCTCCACCTCGAGGACGCTCGTCGTGGGCGTGGTAGGGGCATGCCGGTACTTGGGCAACGGCGCGTCGGCGAGATCCTGATACGCCGGCGGCGGTGGCGCCGGTTTTCTATTCCTGTGGCTGCACTTCTTGTTCTTCTCCGGCGGGTGGTCCGTGTCGAGAACGGGCGCCGAGTGCGGCCTTCTGCTGTGCCTGTCCCTTCTCCTCTCCACACGTGACTCCCTCTTCGGCTCCAGCTTCAAGGCTATCACCTCGTAGACCGGCTCCTGAGGCGTCTCCGCGTTCTTCTTCTCGCCGCGTCGCGGCTCCTCGTCGCCGTAATTGTGCGCCGCTCCGTTGCGCGGCGACTTGGACGGTCGGTCGGTTCTCCTCCTCGGCCGATCTCGCCGGAAATCGCAGCACTCGTTGCGCTCCATCGCGTCGTCGACGAGCCGTTCCGTGCTCTTCGGCCTCTTCGGCTTGTCCGTCTCGTCGCGCGTTCGCCCGCTGGTGCTGCCGTTCGTACGGTAGAAGAACGAGTCCGTCGCGCAGTAGTTCGATCTCTTGCTCGAGGGTTCCGCCAGGAGCGAGTAGCTGCCGCCGTTCACGGACTCCGATATCTCGCGACTCCTCTGCGCCGATATCGACGTCTTACCGAGCGTGTGATACCTGCGGCATTCGACGCCGTTGCTCTGACTGTATTTTCCTCCCGTTTGGTGCTGTCCGGGCTTCCGGGCGTTGTTCCGGTAAGTGACCCGGTCCAGGGTCGCGGTGTGCAGCGGTTGGGGATCCTGCGGGAAGCTGTCGCCGTTTACGTTCGCCTTGGCGGATAAAAAGCTACTTTGGTCGTTAGTGGTCGTTGGCAGCGGCTGGCGTGTCCCCAGACGATGGCTCCGCGGCTCCAGCAGGTTTCGTATCCTCCTGGTGTCCAGCGAATGATAGTCTGTACGAAACACGGGGCAGAAATTCGCTGAAACGAGACTCCCCGGCGCGTCATTTCACGTGTCTCTCGAATTATCGGATAAACTTATTTATAGATGATATAATTAGAAATGTATTTCTTACCACGGTGTACGTGCTTACTAGGCGCTTGCGAAAGTTCACACGATGTTAAAGCCATTTTTATTTATTAATAATAATAAAATGACATATGATATTTTCATCAAAGTGCCGACCGTTGCTACTAATAACCTTTTCGCCGCCTTTCGGGCGATAGTTTGATGCAGCGCCGATAAAATCGTCTCATCCCCCGAGACGATCCATTCGTCGGCCCGTTTTCGCTACTTCCACGGAATTTTGCGCGTTAGATAGATCGTGCTGCATCGATCTGAATGAATGACAATCTGAATATTCTGAATAAATGAAAAAGATCACGCATGCTTCTGACAGCGCATGATATCGATATTTAATTAAATGGCACATCCCTTTTTTCGTACGAACATGTATGATCATACATGAGCAAAATTCATATATGATTTTATATAATTAGGTATCATCATATGCAATCATTTCTTCCCGGGCACACACGCGTCGATGTAGTGAAGACAGTTGACTTTATTTGGAAGATGAAAAAAAGTTCACGAATTATAAAACGTTTTTGGAACAAAATCAACAGCTTCCGCTTACGTTAACGTATGTATTATAATTGTGCGGAAGAAATCTTTTATTCTGTACTGCCAGTAATGAGCGTGGCGTTGACAAATTTTCGCGATATAACAGGCCGATAAATCGAACGCCAGTACCTCTGTTCTGTAACTCTTAACGACGGTTCCGTCGCCGTTGCGCAGGTATAACATACGGCAGGAAAGCTGCGCAACGGCACGCTGGTAACATCGCCGTTAAGAAGTTACAGAATCGGGCTGCAGGATCTCCTTAAAGGAAGACAATTGCTAAGTCGCTGCTACAGTCATCTGTTTATGACCTCGCGAACTTTTGCAAACACCTAACGTAGCCAATAGATGGACAAGGTAACATTTCACCTAGTTTCTTAGGTAAAAGAAGGCTCAAGTCGGAAGGGAATAACAACGATACAATCAACACATAAGTGAACGCGGATGAATGAAGAGACAGAAATCAAAACAGACGTCAAGGCGGATCCGGAGTTGGGACGTTCGATGGAAATACCTTCCACATTCGCCGATTTCCTGTCCGTTAAGCAGTCGTGCAGCTGGTCGGGATCCAAAGCACCCAAGCAGGTCGGCACCGTGAGATTCTGCTCGCAGGATTTGGACGACGGTCGGTAACCGGGCAGGTGTCCGCCGGGCGGCAACTCGGGAAACATCGCGGCCAGCAGCGAGGTGATGGAAGTGGATTGATGGTCGGACTGTTGCTGATGCTGCTGCTGTTGCCGGTTCGGCACCAGCATCTGCGTGGACTTGGCCCGGGGCAGGGGGATCACCGGCGTGGAGCCGAGGGATGGATTCGGCGCGGAACAGGCCTGCTGGCCCGACGGCGGGAAGAGGGTAGCACTGGACGGCACTGTCGACCTGGCTCTTCCTCTGGAAGGCACCGTCGCGGGCGGGGTGACGTTGCGACCGCCGCCGCGCTGCCGCGGAAACAGCTGGGTCGACACGGACCTCGGTAGGGTCTTCGGCGACGTTCTGGGCTGCAGGGGCACCAGCTCCGGCCCCAGCTGGTCCAAGGACTTGCTGTGCCTCGCAGGAAGCGTGGAGGGCGTCAGCATCAGGCGGGCCTGGATCGATCCGATGTCCTGGGCCGCGCCTTCGCTCCTGGGCGACCAGATACCCATCGAGCGCGACTCCAGTATCGCCGCTATTCCGCAGCTACAGTCGTCCATGTTGGGAACTGTTTCGCGGAGGAAACGTCGCGGTGAAAATCATAACCAAATCTTGCGACGCCTGCACCGTGCCGGAATCGCCGCCGAAATTATCACGTCTGCCGTAATTTCTCCAGCGACGAGTACGCGCATGAAATACGAAATATTCAATAAACACGCGTCGTAATTTCAGTCGTAATTCCGGCATGGTCGAGCATTACGAAATCTTGCGGTAATTTCTGCTATACTGAGAAACCCATTTAATCGAATCGACAAAATTCTTGCTTGGACACGGGCCTTAAATGGGTTCCTCAGTACAATATTTTCTCCGCGCGGGTATCTCCAATACAGAAACAGGGAGCGTCCGGAGAGAGTTCGTGTGTTATTTGGTCGGAATAAAACATTCAAGGTGAGAATTCAAGTCGGAAGGAATTGGAAAGAAATCTCCCAGGCGGAGTCGGACATCTCGTAAGATTTTCTATATTCGCGATATTCGCCTTCTATCCCGAAAGTATCGCGCGCGTCGTGTCGCTAGGGAGGAGGATCTACCGCTGTTCCTGTGCCTCTGCTGCATGTCGGCGTACTGATCCTCGAAGATCAAAGGCAACGAGTGAAGATCGCCGTCCAGTTCCGGACAGTGGACCGGCAACGGCGGCAACGACGCGAGGTAACGCGATCGCCGGGCGGCCTCGCTCACCGCCTGATAAGACTGATAGTTCGCGTCGTAGCAGCCCGCTGCCGACGTTCTCGGGTTCTCCAGTACGAAGAAACCCTCGGCGAAGCGCTTCACCTGCAAGTTAACGATCCGTCCGACTTAACCGAGAGCCGACGGACAATCGAGACTTCCCGAGACTCTTTCGGCGAGCCGCACTCACTCTCAGCTGATGGTGAATCCGCGCGAGATGCTGATGGACCGCTTCTCGGCCGGAGAACGCTTCCAGGAAGTGCTGCCAGAGGACGATGTTTTGCGCGCAGAGCTGGGCTATGTCAGCCTCCTCGGTGTCCATCAGCTGCGAGCAACGGACAAAGGAAGAGTTATAATAATAATAATCTTTATTAACGGGAAGAATCCTTCAGTATGCGTCAGAAAGGAGAACAGTTGTTAAGATAGTAAGGAAGTAAAGTTGCTAAAGTGAAACTACATGAATGAGTCTAAACGCCGACGCAGAGCCATCGAAGAAATTAACAGAGGTAGACAATTTATTCGCGGAAATCATCAATCTCATTAAGACGAGAATAAGTTCCGTATAACGTGCGGCGATAATTAATATAAAAAGTGCTGCATTGTCTCAATTGTCTATCTGTAACATTTAGATTTATGAAACGTAACGAATCAGGACAATCGATAAAACGATCGAGCAGTATAAAAACGAACGATGATCGTTCTTCTATTTTCAAGGGATTTCACGTTTAATTTTGATAAAATCAAATTATAGTCACGGCAGTTAAACGCCATGGGACTACCCAAGCGATAGGCAGCCATCCGTAAAAACTTGTGTGTTGTACGTGTTCAATCACATCACGATGCCGATTAAAATATGGCGACCAAACGGTGGAGCAATACTCCAGCTTAGATCGAGCCAATGCACGATATAATAATCTTAGTGTGGTGGCATTTTTGAAATGCTCGCCCCAGCGAAAAATCAAACCGAGCACTTATATGAGGATGAAACAATATTTTGAACGTGTTTGTTAAATGACAGGTTAGCGCCAAATAAGATCACTCCAAGATCACGAGCATCACAGACTGAAGAGAGAGGTGATCCATTAAGGATATAAGTGAATACAAGAGAGTGAATGTATCCGCTTATATCGAGAGCCCATCGAGCGCGACTCGAGCAACAGTCTCCCACAGACGTCGGTACCTTCGTGATCTCTTTGTGCGTGTTCTGTGCGAGCTCGAGCGCCCTTTGCTGCCAGGAGGGCAGCAGCCTCGCCAGGTCGGACAGGTCGTTGAGCAGAGATTCCCTCGCCGCCAGTAGCAATCTCGTGACTTCCTGCTGCACCAGTCTCGCGTGTTGCATCCTCGTCGTCGAGCCGACGCATCTCGTGGTGCTCTCCTGAAACGAGCCGCGGGCCTGCATTTATTAGATGACGTTAGCCCACGTTCACCTCGCGCGCAAACTCACAATGTTCCCGAAGGTCGTCGAACTGTTGTCACCGTTCGCCGGGGATTGTTTAAACTGCAGCCAGGGCTTGCCGCCTCGCGGTGCGCTGCAACCGTCGCGATAAAGTCGGATCAATTGTTGATTAAGCCGCTTACGCTGAGCGCGGTCGCTAAATATCTTCCTTTTTTTCCCTCCGGCCGAACGAGCGCTGGTAAATTTCCCCCCGTCGAAATTATACCGATAAAATAACCACTTGCGGAGAGCGTTTAACGGCGACCCGTGCTGCGATTTGTTTAACGCAAAATCCGGCACGATCCTTACGTTGGAAGGGCCGAAGTCAGAATTTTGCTCTCACACGAATGTGTTAACCAGCACACAAATAGGAAAGTAAACGAATATAATGTTAAATAAACGCGTTCACCTCCTCGAAACATGTTGACAAGGTGAGTGTGTTGGTCTGACGTTGTTTTGTGTACTTTTCAACACATTCCCTGTGTCGAAGTAACACCAAGTTTCGGCTTTTAACGCAAGGTCTTTTTTACCGCGACCGAAGATTTTCCTCCGAATGCAAGATACATCGCGACATATATTTGCCCTCATCGCTCGTTAGCGCACGATTTCTCGCAATAATCAACCTCATCGTCAATCTGAAACTCGAGATCCCGATCATTTCGGGAATTCGGGGGAGGGTCGAGACGGATGCGTGATATCGTGAATCCGCCGTGAAGGGCCATTGGGAAAGTCTCGAGCGACTTTAAAGCGTCGCCGAGAGAGACTCACCAGCTCTGCACGTAGTGCAGTATGCTCTTCCTGCGTTCCGCCGGCGCGGGTGGGGGGGTGAAAGCGGTTCCATAAAACAGAGAGGAGGGTTCTCGTGAGGGACAACGCGTCGATTATATCGCGCCGGTACTACTCGAGAGTTACGAAATGCGAGCGATCGAGCGATACTGACTTGATGTAGGGCTGATGAAGTGCCACGAGGCAGGCGTGGATCGTGATGGACACCGCGGCTAGGTGAAAGTAATCGAAGAGCACCGGCAGATGGTAGTGAAGGCCCTTCGTGGGTGTGAAATTCAGCTGCAGCGCCCTGCAAAAAGGAACACGTCCGTCAAAGCCCGGCGATCGATCACGCGAGTGACTCCGTCAATCGATGCCGCGATCGGTCAATCCGCCTCGCGATCTCAGAACGTGTTTGCGGACAGGTCGCGTCTAATAGGTTGTCCAAAGAAACGTTTGAAAGATGAGGACACTTGCGACGCGTTACGTTAGAGAAATTATGTTAGAACACGGTTAAACCCGATCGGCGCGATCCTGACTTTTTCATCTTCCCGCTGGCGATCAGCCCCGGGAACTCGGCTCGAGGGAAAGGAGGACACGCGTTCGAGAGGAAGCGCGCTGTAATTGCGAGCGTCGCGAGCTTGCTCGGCCTCCTCGCCAATCTGCACGTCCGGGTGCGTCAGGGTTGCCCGCGTCGTTATTGGAGGACACGAGAGACGCAACTGCGAAGCGAGAGGGAGAGCACGTGCTACCCCTCCCCTTCCCCGGGCTTTCCCTGGACTGGCGACGTCGTCCCTTGAATATTTCAAGAGCAGCAATTTAAGTTCCGAAAGGATATCTGGTGTTTCACAACAAAATGCGTTACACGCGCACACTCGCCTTTGTATTTAATCTTCGTCCGTCCTCCCGGAGAAACGCGAAAACGAAAGTTCTCCCCCTCCGGAATTACAGGGGCGGTACTTATTATCCAACGACGATTATTCCGCAATTCTTTTCGCGATCCTGAAATTCCGCTTTGAATCTTAGATCCACCGCGCGTCCGCGCTGCTTCCCCGAGAAATCTATGAGGAGGCCGGCGTAATTAAATAATAATTGAAACGGTTCCTGCTAAGAGGAAGCGCGACACGGAAGCGGGAGATAAAAGGATTATAACGGCGGCCGGCCGGGCCGCGCAACCAGCAGCCGTGTGTGCGTCTTCGCCGCCGCTAGAATAGTAATGCGCCGACGCCCACGTAGGGATGAGAAGACGCTCACCTCGAGGACACGCAGGCCATGTTGCCCGGCTGTGTCGGCTCGCTGAACCATAGCTCGACGCCCAGATTGAAGTGGGTGCGCGACAGGGCCTCCTCGATCTTGTGACTGTGCACGAGCACGTGCGCCCGGAACAGCACGGACGTACCGAGTGTCACCTCCTCGTTCCTGTAGAGTATCTGAAAGCGCTTGCTCGTACCGGGCGCCTCCAGGGAGTCTGCAACACAGGTAGATATGCGTGTCGCCCGCCGAACTTCCCTCGAATGTCTCGCATCCCCGAGAACGGGCTAGATCGATCTTCGAGGCGAACGGACTCGGAGAGCCGGCGTGTGAACGAATCCGGCGAGAGCATCGCGTGGCGCCGAGAACTTTCGGTGACGAGAGAGAGAGAGAGAGAGAGAAATCGCGGCGCTCACGCGATGCCTCGTAAAAAGTAGAAGTATATCGAGAAACACGAGGTGTTTAAGAGAGGAGTTAGCGTCGTAAAGCGCGAGTTGTAGAGGCGCCGGAAGGTCTTCGAGATAAGTTCGACGCGGCGCGATTGTAGATTGTATATCCCCCTCTGTTTACGAGGACGGATTAATTTTGGCGAAATTATTACCGCCGGCGGGAGTCGCGTGAGGACGTTCTTCTCACGTGACCCCCCTCGACGATAACGTGACGGAGTAAAATTCGTCGGGCTTTGCTTCGCCTCGCTCGCGCGAGCTTACGATTTCGTGGTTGATTAACCTCCACCTTGACCGGCAGCTTCGGCGACACTCTGAGAGCCGTTCGAATCTGGTAATACCTGCAACATACGCATAACTTTGCAGGAATTTCACTGCAAATCCAAGTGTCTGGTTTTACGCACTTGTGTGTGTGCAAAATTACGTGGCCGCATTTTAGGTAAGGTAATTGCCCTAATTACGGGTCGTTTATGGTATGACTTTCATTTGTTTGCAAGAATTCGACGAGCGAATATTAAAAGTAACTAGAAGTATCAATGTAAATATCGTGGCTTTTAAACGGAATTATGTGACTTCGAGTTAATTGATTCTAGATAAAAAATAATAATTAGAAATGTTAATGCATTAATCCTAATTACAGATCAATTGCGTTGTATCTCTATAACAGTTCATACGACACCCAATTCTGGGTCAAGAGAAAAAAGTACGTATTAAATATATAATCTAATATATTAGATTCTTTAAGAAATACAGATTTTGTAATTTTTCAAATATAATATGCAATAGGTAGGTAAATAATATTTTACATTTTTTTTAAAGATCTACAATATTTCTGAATGTAACCTTAGAATACAATACTTCTAAATGAGAATTAAAGAATGATAAAAAAATATTTTTCCGTGTTATTCTTACTTTAAGGTTAAATATTTAACCTTGGAATACAATACTTCTAAATGAGAACTAAAGAATGATGAAAAAATATTTTTCCGTGTTTTCATCATAACGTGTACTTTTTTAATACATTAATGAATTAAATTTGACCCGAAATTGGGACCCGAGCCATAAATGGCACCGTTACTTTTTTTGTACGCGCGTTATCACAGTGTAATTTTTATATAAATGTGTAAAAATTACTGAATATTAATTAACTACTTAAAATATTAATTAATAACACTGCGTATACACTGTAAATCCAAGCGTGCAATTTTTGCACAGATAAGTGCGCGAAATTACACACTTGGATTCGCAGCGTTCTCACAGAGATGATTCGCGAGTTCCCCGATTGCTGACGGTGCGATCGCGTTCGAAGGTGTGATCTCGCCGTGATTAAGAAGAGGGCAGTTTCGAGTGGGCGAATCTCACCCGCGTTGGAAGAGGTCAACATTGTAGAACTTGCAGAGCTCGAGGGAGAACTCGAGGGTGGCCTGTAGATCGCTCATCTCGATCCTCGCGATGGAAGGAACCACCCCCGGCCCGCGCTACCCTGGCACAGCCCCTAATCGCACGAAGACCAGCTTCGCCCACCGCGATGACTTGCGAGCACGGAATCTTCAGGGCCTTGCCGGATCTCTCGGCTCGCTCCTGCCATCCTGCGGAGGGATTTCAGCGCCGGTGGTCTTCTGAAACGACGATTCGCGGACGTGGAGCTGTTTGGAAACCAGGGAGAAAACAGGAAAATTGCAGCGGCAAAAATGAAATCTCTATTGTAGAATCGAAAAGAAAAAAACCGACTCGAGGGGGAGTAAAAGTACCGAATACAAAAGCAAGGGCGGGCAATTTCCACGATGAAAATCGCGCCGGAACGTAACGATCGCGAGGAGCGGGGCTGCCGTTGTTAATAACTAATTAACGAGTGCGAACAACGTTCGTAATGCACCTCAATGCCCCGGGCGATTTAATATTGACGCGAGTCGCGCGCGGCCTTCCGCAAAATATTTCATGATTCCCGCTCATTGCCAAGGACGCCCGAAGACAGGCCGGGTGCGCGCGAAGGCGCTCTTCATATTTCAAAGACGTACCGCCCGCGAGAAGAGCGGAGGTCGTAACCGTCTTGTGAAATTTTCACCGGTTAACCCGCATGATATTAGGCGCGTTCCGCGCGGCGATAAAAACATCGGCGTGAGAGAGGCGTACGCCTACGTTTGCGTGGGCCATAAATAAATCGGCGACGCCCGACTTAGCCCGACTAGGTCGAATTTAGTCGGACGTAGACTTTAGCCATTCGTTCGATTAATTTCTAAACGGCACACGTGGACGGCCGCCGAACTATATATATCCGGCGCGGCGCATGTATAACGCGCGCTTATGACGATAAACGCACTCGTAAAGGCGCAACGACCGGATATGGACCGGAGGATGTACGACAGTGCGACAGTAGAAGAGAGGGAGAGAACGGTAAAATAAATCCCGCCGTTTGCGCGTACGAATCGATACACCGAAGGTCGTTGTAGTCGGCCGCTTTGATGTTGAAGCGCGCGCGATGCTCATAGTTCCGGAAAGTATCTCACACCGATCTGCGATTTCACTGTCAAGGACGGTCAAAAGCATGCACGCGAGTGCAATTATCCTCCGTCCACACTTCCCCGGCTTCGCCCACGTGGGATCAATGACCCCCTCTCTCTCTCTCTCTCTCTCATACGTAACTTAATTTCCCGAGGAGAACGGGGATAAGTGCCGTGGCGTAAGCGTAATGGAAGTCCAAACCGCGGAGCGGTTGAGAGCTAAACGGTTTCTCCGGTGAATTAGGCCTCAAAAATGGGAGTGGCGGGATGTTCGATGTTTCGAGAGATCAAACGTTGCGCGGCAAATGACGGGCAGAATTCTCGCAGAATAGCCGATTTTCAATTCGTTCGCACTTCAAGGGGACCCTCGGGACGTCCTGCCGCAAATTTTCCAGCAGGGAAGACCGAGGCTGCTTGGCACACTTTTAGTCTAACACTTTTTTCTTTTCGAGAAGCTTATACATGGAATACACATCGCAACAGAATCTTCCAACAGACACATGTCTGTATTACTCAAAAAGTATGATTTCATTCAACGATATAATTTATTTTCTCGCACGAAAACTAGGAAAATAGACTAAAAACTGGAATATAAAAACTAGAAAGAACTCTTTGTAAATTACAATGTATTGAACGAAGAGAAATTAAAGAAATGAGTGTATAATAAGACTTTTGTTAATAATTAATTGTATGAGAGAACATTTGGATATCACATAGATACGCGTTTAAGAAAAGGTGTGATTTTTGCAGGGCTGATCATTTTATTTTTTACTTTTGTCGCACGTCGGATGATAATAAAGATTCTGCTCGTTTACTTGCACTCGGTTGAAGTTCTAAAAGTTTCCAAAAGTCCAACTTGCTTATTTGTATTCGAGACGACAGCTCTCTCAACATACCCTGTCCCAACCTCGACCTATCATATTTTGATATTTTAGCTATTGCTTAAAAAAAAAAGATGTTTCCAGGATCAACATAACTGGAAGTTATTAGTTTTGACGTAAAGTTTTTAAAAGAACAGCCCGGATTACCATATAATGACAAGATTTGAAATTATAACGTACATCACTTTTTTTATTTTCTAATATATAAAATTAAAGACATGATATATCTTGGAAAATACGCTGTGCAACTTAAAAATGAAAATTATCGAAACATAATCGCAATGTTTTTGCAATAATACTATATTTTTTATGCAGCATTATCGTTTGTCATTTTAGAGCTGTGTTAAATATATCTACCTGCCCCGTGTATCGACTAGCAGCCCCTACTGCAACTCGTTACTGGCTGCACCGAATTAAAAATCCTTCTGCATAATTAAAACACACACGAATGTAGATGACCACGGTTAACTTCATTCGAGAAACGACAAAAACAATTTATATAACTCGTTAACTTTTTCCGTTTTTCGAATAAAATCAACAGTCGTTGCTTACATTAACATATATAATGTAACTGTGCAAGAGTTTTAATTCGATGCAGCCAGTAACGAGTATGGTACTAAAAAAATTTGCGGTAAAACAAGACGATTGCAGGATCCTCTTAAGCACTATGAGAGCGCATCTCTCTCTCTCTCTCTCTCTCTCTTTCGCCCTCCCCCCTCTCTTTCTCTCTCGTTTTTACGTGCTCTTTATATATTCTCTGTATATTTTATTTAGGATTACAGTTCTTCTAACGTAACTATGTTTACCAGCATTTATCGACCGTGCATTTTTATTGTTTCGTCCTTCGCACGGTGTAAAAATATGCACGCTGCAGTTTATTGCCTCTGACCGCTCTTACCGATCGTAAAGATAATTCATTACCGAGGGAAGCAGCTAATAGCAACACGGATGTGTCAGGTTGCGCGAGATCTTTTGCAATCGCGGGGAGAGATATATGACATCGACTAAGCGATCCTTGACAAGCCAATCGAGCCGGATAGACTCTCTCTGGGGTAATCCGAGTGTCCCCGTAGCGAACTTACCGCCGCGACTTTATCGTTCTTCCCGAGGTATTACGGATTATACGCGCTCGATCGTTTTCATCGCGACAATCTCCGGCACGCACGGGGAAAGCCCCGGCCTGAGCCGTGCTTAGGGGGAAACTTTCTTAATTTACGCTCGTCGATATCCCCAAGGCCGGTGTGTTTCCTCGACGGTGTGCACGATGCTCACGATCCCGGAAAGTGCTCCTTGGCGAACGCACTCCATTGCCAAGGCCGCTCAAAGGCTGCGTCGCGCGCTCGGCCACAGCCTCTCTCTCTCTCTCTCTCTCTTTCCGCCGCTTTTAAAATAAGAAGACTTACGGCGGCACCCTCTTAGCGAGCGGCCGGCACACAGGCGGCCCTTTGTAACGCTTTTCTTTTTTTTTTTGCGCGCACGAGGAAAAGAGAGACGGCCGGCGTTTGTTGCATAAATAAAAATCGTATCGAGATTTTCTCGTAATTTATACACGGGGTGTCTGTCGCACCGAGTGTCCCGTCCGCTATGTACTTGGAGGTTAGATCAATATCAGCGGAAAAGTGCCTGTGCCATTTTGCGAACAGCTGTTGAGTGCGAAATTTCGAGTTATTAATTGTTGAAAACGGCCGTGCACAGAGGCTTCATTAATTATTAACTCGAGATTTCGCGCGGCTGTTTGCAAAATGGTAGAGCATTTTTTCTGTTTACATCGACCTAAAATACGAGTATACAACGAATAGGACACTGTAGAGAAGAAAACGTGTTTCTCACAAATTGTTCGTGTGAAATTTTCTCTCGTATCGATTTACTATATAATGCGTGAGCGCGCGGGAGTGTGTTGATTCAATTCGCGATTGAAATCAGCGAAAAAACCTGCATATTTCGACGAACAGCCGCGAAGTCGAGAGAAGCTTCTTCGGCGAGAAGCGAGAAACTCTGCCTCGTGATATTTACACCGTTAAAACCGTCGGGCGATTCACCGAGACACGCAACTGCGTCAGCTGCAATCGCCCGGAAGTATTCTTGATCGCGACGTCCTCTCGCCGGTGCACTAACGCGCACGCATGATTAATGTGACAATCTCTCATCGTCGTTCGCGTCACTGCCAAGGCCGCTCGAAGGCCCGGCACAACCCGGAAGTCGGCTTTCCCGGTGCATTTATCCGCCCCGGCGCGCGAAGATCAACGACCTGCCTCGCGTCGGGGGTTGGGAGGTAGAAAGAGACGTCGCTGCGACTCGGTGCTCGTCATACCGAGGAGGAAAACCGGCGACTCTTCCGAATTGTTCGTACGAACGAATATCGGAAGTGCCAATTTGAAAGCTGCGACTCGCTCGCTGCGCATATCCCAGAAATGACATTTGAACTTTCGCGCGTTTCAGGTGCAAGAGGGGGGGGGGAGAGAGTTCGATGAAAAACTGCGCGCCATCGTCCGCCCGAAATCGCCCGTGATTCCCGGGGATTTGTTATCGCGGGGAACGCTGAGAAAAATTCGCCAACGCTGTGAACCGGTCGCGAGTTGTTCCCAACTTTTGCGGTTAAGCGCGGCGCAATAATTTCAAGAGGCGGATTTCCCGTAAAGTCGCGCGCGGAAGGGGCGAGGAAGAGGAGAGAACGCAGCGAGCGGTAGGCAGCTGTGCGCCCGACCACTTTTAACTTGGCCATGTTGGTAATCCGGTTACACGTGTACACGTGTGCGCGCGCGTGTGTGTGTGTGTGTGTGTGTCGGTTACCGGTGAGAAATAGACGAGCGACATTACGCGTTCCGGAGATGTTTCCCCGGCTTCTTCTTTTTGTCTTCGGCGATAACTATCTTTCAGCAACGTCGGAAGCAACGGCCGCTTTCGCGGTTTGCAAGAAAAGGACGCGGCGCTTTCAGCGGAATGACGGATCTCAAGCGTGTCTGGTGGCGATTAAGCGTCAAATTCGCGATGCATCTCGCGGGATACAAATTTTTAGGTGAGATTACAATCGCGCGATCCGTTCGATTCATCCTCGTGATTATTTTCCACTCGAGCAAACGCGTTGCGATCCGGTGTGTCCGCGGGAGAGAGAGAGAGAGAGAGAGAGAGAGAGAGAGAAGGGGGGTTAGAAGAAAAAGCAAAAACCGAACGTTATTGCGAGATTGATTGTTATTTTTGTTACATTCTCCCTCGGTGTTTTGTTTCATGTTCCGTTCTGTTGTACTTATAAATTAGTTTATGCGA